TACTCTGGTCAAGATCGCAACATCTTTCACACACCTAATTTATTTTGTCATAAAAAAACAAGGTCTGAAAAAGAGTCATCCTTTATGACATACCACCAGCATCACTGTTCTTGCAAAGTTAGAATGAAGTACTTAAAAAAAACAAAACAACACACACACAAAAAAAAACAAATACAAAAGATATCTAGAATACTATTTTACTGTTTTTTTCCTATTACATCCAGTACTCTGGACATAAAATAAGCTTGAATTCTTGAAATCAGTATCACAAGATCCGTACTTATTTAAAAAACAACACTTAATTACAAAGAATAGTTTTACTGAAGAATTCTGCTCTTCATAACACACTAATCAAATTCAGCATGCTCATTTCATTAGATGAAACAGGACGACCAGCGTTTTCTCAGCAGATTTTGCTTGTCTAACATGACTTATTGTCAAGCTCCTTAAAACAGGAGTAGTGAAATGAATTTATGCTGGTTTTCAAGAGGAGATGCATAATCCATATGGATACACATCTAACCACGTCAGAATTGTCAGACACACCATGCTAGCTCTGCCACTGCCTTCATTAAGAAAAATGTGTGTTCCTGCACATCAGCCCTTCCAACTACAGCACATAAGCATCAGCCAGCTTCAAAACATCTAAACGCATTCTTCACACATCTGAGATATGTTTGCTGATGGTGCCTAATTTTTTTCTTTAGGAGGCAGAAAACAAAACAAAATAGTTCGAAGTTGAAGAGGAAGTATTGTTACCGCTAGTAAACCCCTGGCAAGAGACTGGAAGGCCTATAAACACATTGAACTTTGCAATCCAGCAGAGGAACATAACCTTTGATAGCTATGATGCCAAAATCACAGGCACATTATTACAACGTGTAAAATCGTACTTACGTTCCGATTAAACTTTGTGAAGGAATGGTGCATATAAAACCTGTGCATGTAAACAATCGCAGTATTTATTGTCAGCTGAGATCTGGAGAACTAGATTAAGGAAAGAGCAGGTATTATGAAAACCGTTTGTAACTAATGAGATTGTTGTTCCTTCTACACCAACCCTGGGTTCCAACACAGCTTCTTCACCTGGAAACGGCCCGAGAAGGCGATGCTGAGCGGCTCTGAGGAGCACTGAGCGGGCGCTAGCGCGGATCCCCACAGGCAGCGTGGCGGTAGCAGGCGGGCCCCCTCATTCATCACGCGAGCCCTCCTCGCCTGATGACACGCGCTGCGATACGGGCTCGAGCATTCGCGTTTTACCCCAATTTCATCATTTTTTTGGCCGGGGTTGGGGGGAGCCCCCAGCCGGCGGCGCGGGGCCCGCCCGCCCACAAAGCCGCTGAGGAAGGGGCTTCGGCCTCCTCCTCCTCCTCCCGCCCAGCGGCTAACAAGCGTTAGGGACGGTTAACGACGGTTACCGCGGGTTACCGCCCGCTGTCGCCCCCACCCGCCCCAGCCCCAGCCCCGCCGGGATACACGTTGAGGCGCTGGCCCATGTCCTGGATGAGGTTGGCCGCCTGCTGCCGGTACGAGAGCTCCTTGTCGGCCTCCACGCCGCAGCGCCGGGAGGGCGTGTTGTCCAGCTGCTCGCGGCTGAAGAACCACCGCGACGCCGCCGTGGAGCCGCCGCCTCCTCCTCCTCCTCCTCCGCCGCCACCACAGCCCCGCGCTGAGGAGCCCGCGCCTGAGCCTGGTCCCGATCCCGCCGCCGCCGCCATGGCGCCGCCGCCCCCTCCCCCCCCCGCGGCCGCGGCCCCGGCCCCGCCCGCAGCCGCCGCCACCGCCCCCCCCGCCCTCCGCGGCGCCTCTCGCGAGAGCGGCCGCGCCTCCGCGACGGGGTTACGCCGTTTGCGTGGCCCGGCCCCTCTCCGGCTGCGTAAAGGAGCCGCCCAGGTTCTGGAATACGGAAATGACGTAGGGGGCATAGATCCGTTGGCGGGCTCGGGGTCTGTCAGGCGGCTCCTCAGGGGGTGGGCGAGCCGAAGGCAGCCGCACAAAAATGTTTTGGTTTTGTTTTGCTTTAATTTTTTTTACACCCCCAGTTGGGATTAATGGGAGGCTGAGCGGGCGGGGCGTCCAAGCTCAGATTCACCTGGCTCCTTGCTGAGTCGCGCTCCCCGTCTGATAAATTTACTTCTAATAAACGCTCAATCTCCCCCAACGTTTGCGTGCTTTTCTTTTCCTTATAAAGTTTAAAAAACAGCACCTCCCTTCGACGTGGCAGCAGCCACGAGTGGAGCTTTGGTGTCCCAACTTCATGTAACTGCCTCAGAACCGGGTGTGGGTGTGGGTGTGTGAGGAGCGGCCCCCCGGCTGCTGCCTGCTCCCAGCTGTCGAGGCTCGCCCAGCACCAGGCACTGGTTATTTTGCTGGGACCAGGTTAAAAAAAATCGCTTACTGCGTGTCTAAGGGACTTCCCACACAAACAAAAAGCCTAGTGGAGCAGGTCTTGCTCTGAGGTGCTGCCAGGTGCTGTTGTATCATACTTCTTAGACAGCAGTTAGGGATGCTGGCAGCTCGGTGTAACTCGCCTCTTGCCTCTCTGAACATTTTTGTATGAATAAAGGCTCACAGATTTCTTCAGATCTCGGTTATTTCAGTGATCCTATTTATTGCCTCACAAATAGCACGCAATGGCACGAAGAAGGAGGCAGAAGCTGTCATATGGGAATACGCAGCAGGGGTGGGAGAAAACTTTAAAGAGCTTTGACAGGTTTGAGTTTAGCATTTTAGTAACCCCTCCCTCCTCCTGACAAAAAAAAAATAATAAAAAAATAAGCACTGTGTAATGTTTTGTGAGGTACCCAGGGAACCGGATTCATTTAAAGTCATTTAAATCTATTTTATCACCTGCTAATTGCAGATATTTCTCCCTGTGTGCTCACACGGGATAGATACCAATTTTCAGTAGCAGTTTGAGACAACTGCATTCAGTGGTCCAAAGGTACCAAAAGGTGTCTGTATTTAAAGTGCTGATCACCACGGCTCAAAACGAGAGCTTCTTCTCCTGTAGCATGTGCCACTAGCACTGCACAGCAGCTTTGGTCACTTACAATGAGGTCACAACTAGTTCTTCTAAACTTCAGTGCTAATTTTATATAAGCAGTTACAATTTTATAACCAGACGTGACAAAACCCTAATCATACATACAGAAATACCATGCAGCATGGAATTACTGGCCCGATCTTTCCAATTGCAGAACATCTTTAAGATTTTGCATGTCCACCTTAAATTCAACTACCAAGGCTTCTGTTGTCATTAAGAGCTTACCTTTGCCATCATATTTTTGGGCCCTTAGCAATCTTAAAGAAGTGCAGTGTTTTATCTCATTGTTTAAATCATTGTGCAAAACTTTTGGAACTCAAGTGTTCTCTGTATATTTTTAGTTCCCTTAAAAACTCATGGAAGAGTATTAGGAATGTCCTTGTCTATGTAATTTATATTTATATCAATTAGCATTGTTAACGGAAAAATAAAAATAAAAAAGGAAGACAATTATATCCCTGGCTTAAAAAACTTAATACATCAAGAATAAGTAGAACATCATTAAATAATGACAGTACATAATGAATATGATTTATGCAGGGTATGCACTACTTACTTGTCATGCAGAGTGCTGCAATCACCCCTTCAGTCATAGGTGAAGGTAATTAAATACTGGGTTTGCTATTGGGTAAGCTTCTGACCTCTGTCCCCGAAGATGCAACAGTGCATTCTCACTTAACAGGTTTTGATCATTAAAAAGCTGAAGAATTAATTGATTAATCTGATTAAAATGTATTGCAGGAATCATAACATATTTTCCTCTTACATCCATTTCAACATCTGTGAAAATCAAACATACTGAAGGTAGAAGAAAGTTGCCTTTTTTCTACTTTGAAATTTAATTAAAACAATCTGGTTGAAAAATCAGTCAGTTAACTCAATACTTGCATGTAGATATTTAAATAATCAACAGAAGTCTTGCAAACCTGAGGACAATTAATATTGTTAAAGACGTTTTATTTAGGCCTTTTTTTTTTTTTTTTTTCCTCCTCTTACCTAATATTCACAGGGCCCAAATCTCTGAGTTGCTGACTACTACTGAGTTGCCTCTGATATCCATTAGTCTTTAATGGGGTATATTTGGAGAAGCAATAAAGGAAAGATTGAAATGCAATATTTGGGCAAACATATAATTAAACTGTACACACTTTTTTTTTTTTTTTTTTTTTTTAACTCTATAAAGAAGGACAAAGCCTTCTCAGTAGTCCAACAGAGGCTGTTATCAGCAGGACCTGCTGAATCCTTCAGGTTCATTCTGTGATTATAAGGACAGTTACAGACACAGCCGCAAACAAAACTCTGCCTAATATTATTTTTCCTGGAGTGGCTGGAGACTAAACAGAAAAATAGTGACACCTGATGCAGCAAACAAATGTGCACATGAGGATGGAGAGTCTCAGTGAACAACAGCATTGTTCTGACTAGCACAAAAACTTCTCAGGAGGAGGATGCCCTCCTGAGGCATCATGAAAACCCATTTGAGTAGCCTACAAAGAAAACCATCTTTCCATACTTACAGCAGCACTGAAACTGGAAAGAGCATTAACATCTCAACAGTTAAAGTATCCAACCTTACCATTAGAAAGTGTTTTTATGGCATCTAACATTAATCCATGCCAATGTTAAGCAGCATTACTTATTCTGACACTAACAGTGATGCATAAAGTATTATCTACACAAATACCTCATTTTTGCACCTACAATCATTTTGTTCCAATTGTTCCTGATCAATTAATTGCCAGGGGCATAGGCAGCAGCTAAAAAGAACGCATCCTTGCATAGACCTTTTTCTGCCTACCACATCTACAAAGTGTCAGCGCACAAGCTCAAAGTGCTGGGCTGACATACTGTATGCTGCAGTTTCAGCCAGTGGATAAAGGCAAAAGTAGTCTTTCAAATTCTGTATATTATGCATTTCCAGTTCCCCTGTTTTGGAAATAACAGTAGACTGAAACATACTTGTCAAATTTATTTTTCACAGTACAATTGCACATGCAAAGTTGAAGTATCCCTAAGGAGTCAATGTTTTATCTGAAGTTTGGTCTTTTTAATATCTTCATAGTCATTCAAATTGTTTTCTGCTAAGACCCAAAAATTCCAGAGCATTGCCAGCCTTGAGTTTATCCTGTAAAAATAAAACACTTATATATGTTTGTATGTGTTTAAGTCACGTTTTAGTCAATTTTTTTTTACTCAGATGCTTTCACTCTTGCTTTAAAATGCTCTCATGAATTGCTTTAAAGAGACTGAAGGGCCTCTTCCAATCTTTGCAGGAATTACTGTACTCCACTGATTTTTCATCTTTTTTCCCCCCCAGGGTCTAAAACTAGAGACTTAAAAATGATCCATTCCCTTCCCCCTCCCGCCCCCCTGTTCTCCTCTCCCCCCCTTGTCCCCACCAACAACCAAAACCAAAAATCCATCCACCCAAATTATACCTTCAGTTTATGGTCAAAATCTTCCATTGAGTCAATCAGTTTTCCAGGTTCCAGTTCTCCCAGTGGAAAAGGATAATCTGTCCCTAAAATAACTTTGTCCTAGTGATAAAGAAACACATTGCACATTCTGTAGTATCAACAAAGGATATAGTTTCACATGCTTTCTGGAATTTAGAATAAATCACAGGAAGTTAAATATATACATTGAACTGATTCATTATGAAAGTGAATGTGAACATAGTCTCTGGATTCCAATTTACATTAAAAAAAAAAAAAACGACAAAAAACAACAAAGCTTAAAAACAAGTATTCAAGATTATTTGGGAATTTAAATTTTAAAAATAGTATTGTCTGTTTCTTAATTGTTTCTGTGTTGCCTAACTAAAGCATTGAGTACTTTTATTTCTGATATACAGAAAATTCAAAATGTAAAACCTGGTCATGTGGAAGTGAGTGGCTGCTCCGATGACTACAGTACAAGCACAAATGGTAATTTCCTATGGAGATCGACTTTCTTTATTGTGGAGCAGCTTTGAAATGTTACAAAATGCATCTATTTTTCATCTCCTGCCCTACTAGTACTGTTTCTACTTCTGAATTATTTTTCATGTTCAAGGAAGTTACTTGCATGCTCTGCACTGCTGTCCAAAAAGACCATGAAATCTTTTGGCAGATTCCTTGAAGGATCTCAGGAAGTTCTCCACCAAACTCACAAAAGAAGCTTGGATTTGGATTCTTGAATTTGAAATTCTTGAGTATACACACACATAAATGCACTCACTCAGACAAACCTGAATTTATATATACTTGAAAAGAATGTGTAATAAAACAAACAAACAAACAACCCAAAGCAATCAAAACTGTCTTTCATGAAATACTTTAAAAGCTGTAATACTTGCAACGTGATGCTACTTAAGCGTGGTAAAATGTAGAACTATTACAAACATTTAAATTCAAAAAATATTTAACTGGTATTTAACTTCATAATTTATCTGGTATTCAGCTTCAGATAATACAATCAAAATCTCATTTCCGAATTTCCTATATTTTTGGAAGCCTATGATTTTCTTAAAATGTCATTGTCTTTGACTGGGATTGGGTATTAACTGTGAGCTGGAAACCCGTATGTGAGAATCTGAGTGACATGATCCGATTTATTTCTGAAAGCAACAGTAAGGGAATAGAAAATTCAGTAAGAATCTGTATGCATCACTCCTGTTATCAGAGGCGGAAACGAATAGGCAGATTCTCAATGGGTTCGTATTGTTATATGTTCATTTCCATGCCGCGATGATATTTCTCATATTATCATCTACCCTAGAGATTGAATATTGCCAACTCACTTGATTTTATCAAAAGTCTATTTTCTTTCAAGCTTCATCTCCTGGAGACATGAATATTTGAAAACCACCATTTTCATTAAAAATGTATGTTTTGAAATGTCTCATAAATTTAAAGTCAAGCTCATGAATTTTGGGGAACTTGTTATAGCATTTAAATTCAGTTGCCAATACTGAAATAGGACAAAGAAAACATATTTCAGTTATTTTATGAAATTGTTCTTTTTCTTGTTTGCCAAATGCTGCTTATTTATTTTACCTCCAATAGATGTCACCAGAGAGTCTGTGAAAGAGTCTAAACGAACCCTTACAGGAAATCCAGATACAAATTCTATTGTTCTCTCCTATATTATTGTATTATAATTTATTACAGAAGTCCTGCCATATGATTAGAACAGGAGAATTTATATTCCTCTGTCTACTGCATCAATTTCTGAGTGCAGATTAAACAAAATATATTTGGGTATGTGTACGATTAAACAGCCAAATACATTCTTTTATTCATTATAAAGTGCAATCTGGTACCAAAGCCATTTTCTGCACATATGAAAAACAAATGTATGCCACAAAAAAATACAACAACTAAACAACAACAACAAAAAAAACCATACCAATTAGCATACTAACTTTATATTGGAAAACGGATTTCTTAGTAAAGGAGAAAGTACCTCCTCAGCTGCTTATTACCGAAAGTTAAGAAGGTCAGGAAGGTTTGTACATTCTTGATTAAGTTTTCTGTATACCAGAGCAGAAAGAAATCTCACTCCGTCATTGGAATAATCTGTATATGTTATTTCAATTATCTTTTTATTTTCCTCTAGTTTACAGTGTTTCATTGTATTTCAGGGGATCTGTTCATAAACGGTAAAATTAAGAGCTGTAAATTAATGAGAACATCTAGAAGCAGAATTATTGCTGCTATTATTAGGCTATTTATTTATAATCTTTGAGCTTCAGTTTATACCCATTTGTAAAATGGGGTTTGCAATCCCTGTATTTATCAGCTGGCCTCAGAGAAGTCCTGTGAAGTCTCTGCAGATAAACAATACTCCTGGCATATTGTCTATCATTGTACATGTATAAACTATAAAGATATCAGCAAAGTTCATTTTCCTTAGTAGACCTTAACGTTCAATGCCTTAATGAAGCCCTTAATGAAGCCTCTAGCCTTTCAGAAAGGTAAATATGGCTGACAATTTGCCTCAACAGACCCTTCTGCTCAAGAGAATTTTTTTCACAGCAGTACAGACCTGAATCTTGAAATGAATCTCAAAGAATGTCAAGCATGGTTTCTTCCTCTTACGTCAGTGAAAATTTGTATTTCTCCTGAATCTCACCTTCTTTCCTGCTGTCGGAATACATCTCAAGAAAAGGCCAGATTGTTATAGCCAGTTCAGCTCCAGCTTCTGGCCTGAGAACAGTTTTACCTGCTGGTGATGGACGCTGAAGAATCACCATGAGGTTTTTGCAGAGATGCACTGAATCATTTAATCGTCTGCCAACCCAGATCTTCACTTTTTATAGCCAGAATCTTTAGGGACTTTTTGTTTAGTTTATTCACTTCATGCTACCTCATTGTGGGGAGAGCAAAGGACTGCAGCAAATCTGCAGCCTCACAAAAGTATTTCTCAGAAATGTTTACTCCTGCCTCCTCTAACTGGGATAGGCTCCAATTAACCTGCACCCCAAACTAAGAAGGGCTGAAGTTAAATGTACGTGACTCAGAGCTATCCCTGGATTTTAATATTCATAAGCTCAAGGCCCACACATGACATTTTGATGCCACGTAATGGCTGTTCCCTGAGGACCTGATGCCACTTGTATGCAGATCTTTACACACACTGATGCCCTTCCTGAACAGCTCCCAGCTATACTCCCGAGAGCTGTCCTATTTCAAACCTTTGGTTTATAAAGTTACACGTCATGCGAGAGACCCAATCGCAATGTTTTTAGCCTGGCATTTATTCATCTTACCCTTGTTATTCTGCCAACACATGAGTTGACTTTTGGAATGGTATTATGTGAGAACGTCAGCTTTAATGGGAAAATTAGGGAAGTTTTTCATCTTCATGGTTATAAAGTGAAGCTTGAAAATATGTTTCTTCAAGGATAAGATGCCCTAGGCTTTGAAAAAGAGAAAGACAATGTAATGCTTTCCAAGTTCTAATTCTTAAAAGCATTTGAGTTTTTGGGATCTGACTCATGACTTTTCAGTACCATGGTTGCCAAATATTGCAACAAGAAGCCAAATCTGCTTCTTCGTTAAATACACGTAACTCTTACTGTGTTTCACATTAAGAAAGAAGAAAGTCTCATTTTAATTAAACTGCTCCTTTATTTTGAAAGAAATCTGGCTCTATGAGAAGTTCCACTGGACTGAGACTTTTCTTGAAAATATCTGCCATAAATACAACGCTATCTCCATCAAGTGCTTCTTCTTGGCAGCTTGATCTTTAGCCAGTAAAATAAATAGCTGCTCATTATATGTGCCTGACTCAAAGCTCTTCCTACCTCATATAATTTATATAGGTGATGTATTTTACTAATTCAATGGACTTCACATTGCTCTGAACCTCTGCAAAGTAGAGCTTAGATTTCAGCTCTGAACCTCTGCAAAGTAGAGCTTAGATTTCAACCTGTTCAGTTTCTCCCCCCACCTTCTCCCCTCAGAATTAAAGATAACAGAGCTCACTCCATCCTATCAGTGCTGTTCTGGATAAGGAATCCTTCGGAGTAGGGGAATTTTAGAATGATGTAACACAGGCATGGCTAATTATATTGCCAGCACATGGCCCACTCAGATATAGTCATGTCAAAGACTGTGTATGCACTTGTAGATAAAGCAGGCTGTAGACGGTTTTCTGGCCCTGAGGCCAACCACCCAATATCACCCAAGTATTTTCCCCCTCCAAGACAGGATGGCTGCATTTATTCTGTTTAGATATCTGCATTCTGTTTGTACTTGTTAATGTGAAAAATTGATATAAAACACAACATTCTGCAAAGGAGATAGTGAAAATGAAGACGCACACTGAAAAAAGTAGATTTACTACTCACTAAAGTTATCAACTGGTCAGTCGAGCTCAGATTATACCCAACCTGGCAAAGAAAGCTGCCTCTCATGAAACAATAATTATTATACTGAACAAAGCAGGACTGCCTCCTAAACCAGAAAGAAAGAGGTGGTAGGAAGAAGATAAAATTCATCTAAATTTCTATAAGACTTTTAAAAAAGAAATTGGCTATAAAAGTTAGCATGTTCCACCAATAAAAGGGTTTACTAAAAAATAGCAGCCTGAAAGGGAATCCCTGTGCTTTCACAAATGCCCAGCCCTGCAGTGCATCCTCCACAGGGTAACCAAATCTGATCCCAGAGAGGCTACAGAGGTCCAGTGAAGGCTCACTACTCCATGAGAGGTATCTTCTAATGACCAGTTAAGCAGGAATGTTCTCTGGCATGCAGCAGAGGACTAGAGAGATTGCTTGAACCCAACACAAATTGAATATACCTAAGGAGTCTTTCTTCCCTAGACTACAAGCTACATAGGGGCAAATGGTTGCAAAAGAATTTTATGTAAAATACATGATTCGGTATTATGTAGAGATACAAGGAGTGGATGATAATATTTATGTGTATAGAAAGGGTAACAGGCACAACAACTAAAATGTGCCATCTTATCACAGAGATATGAGAGAATATGAGTAAGAGGCAAAGTATCAGTGAGGCTGTTGAAAACAAGAGTGCAAAGGTAACGTATACCTGCAAGACCAGACTTAATGTAAAATGACTGTACACAGCAGAATTTGTATTTGGATCTTAAATCTTTCATTTTCCTTCAATAATTCCTTGTTTCTGGCACTGTTTTTATACTGGGAAAGATTCTACTGCTGTTATCATCAGAGACATTTGTTATTGTCTGGACTTCACAACTGTGTTCATTAAAAGCCAAGTACAAGCACAGATAGATACTTAAATGACAACACTAATATGTCATAGGCAGAACAATAAAGTGGGAAGAGGATGACTTACCTCCTATCAGATAGAAAACAAAAGACAGCAAATCCAGTTTCTCAGATTGAATTTAAAGAATAGAATCAGTTGCAGAAGCCCTATTCCATTCCCTTCAGCCAGTAACCTCTCCCAGACCTTTCCACCTCCTGTCATATTGCTGAGCTCAATCCACTCAGAGAATTAAGGATACCAACATCCCAAGTAGTACACTGAGCTAATGTATTGCATCAAGAAGCTTAATTTCAGAAATCTGTGGGCAAGGGAAGAGACACCGGAGAGGCTCCTGCACATGATTTTTAACAACGCCAAGTAACTTTTAGATTAGGCAATTGCAATCCACAACAAATTACCAGCTATACAGTCTATGTGTTGCTTCTTAGGAGGCAAGGTATGGAAGTTAAGAGTTTAAGCATGATGCATAGACAGCACAATTCCCACAGTCACCATAGCTCAGAGCAGCCTTGAGGTGGAAAGCTAACTTGCTACTCTAAAGCAGAACTGCTCTGAGACTTGAATTCTATGCATGTTAAAGAGAAAAAAATAAAAAAAGTTAAGCTCCTCAGTATCCTGTTGTACTTTCTTTCCTGCTTTGCTCTTGAATTCAATAGTTTAACTTAAAAACAGTATCAGACCAGAAAAAAAGGATGTGTGGGTTTCAGCTATGTTGAATCTCACAGCTTCTAATTTACCAAGGTCTTTCTAATGATGGCAAAATGTCTCCCAACATTTAAAAATGCATACAACAAAACAAGCAAGTGGTCTTGTCTCCTTGGCAATAATAATAAATAATAACAACAACAAAGGTATCTGACCACCTATATGTGGCAATTTAAAATTCAAGAACTAGACTCATCCCTGCTATACTACGCCTGTATGTAGAATGAGAATATACTTATGACAAACATGGCCTGGATGCGGGGAGACTTCTTGGAAAATGAGATAACAGAAGGCAAGTGCCAAACAGTTATTCCATAAGCTTTCAGGTATCTTATAAAGTTGAAGTGCACATCACATATAGTAACATTTTCAAATCTTTTCTCAAAATGACTTAATGCCATTGGATACTGTAAATTACAGTTACATTCAAAAGGTAATAATACATCATAAAAAGTTATGTACTGTTGACCATGATATATTTACCATTTAAAGGTTGGTAGCAGAAATTAACAGAAATCAATATTGGGCTGGAGCCCTAGAATTTTGTTAATAATGAGTTTGGTGCCTAAAACTTCATCCCTGACACAGATCTCTCCATCAGTGCTCAGGAGGGCTAACATTGCCAAAAAAATGCTCTAATATGCCTGGAAAGAACTTGGCAAATGCCACCTGAGTTGATACCCACTGATGTTATAAGAACTTGCCAATACTAAGAGCTCATTAGCAAATCTTCTGACAAGTAAATCAAGCCGGGATTTATCTTTCTTGCTGATAATGGAACTAAAGCTTCATGGCAGTTTCTTTGCACATTTTATGGGGCTTCTCCTACAAATCTATTTTTGATTCATGATGGATTTAAGAGAGAAATATTCTCCCTCCTGTTCTTATAGCTGTAGTGTTATTGTATCCGTATATAAATACATTGTGTATATACACTTCACAAAATCTTGTGACAGCATTGTGTCAAGGTGTATATGTGCTGTCACTGTTGAATTTTTCATGTATCTTCAAATGCAGTTTTCCTAAAAAGTGAAAGTATTGTAGGGAAGCTGAGTCCAATCTCAAGGATACAGATTTCCTGTGCAGCACAGACTGAAAACCCGTGGATTTCAAACAGATGTGATCTGGGTCCACAGTACCAAGATAAGGAAAAGCAATAATTTATTCTGCTTTATTATTTTTGGTTGACCCAGGCAAGTCATTTCTGTATCAGTTTTTGTACAGACTTATTGCAGCAACCCATTCAGACTTTAATGATAAAAATGGGAAATCAACAGTAACTTTTTCTCTAAAAAGAAGGAAAACATCTTTCTTAGCTGTTTTTCTGAACTTTGGTCATACAAGAGGCCCTGGTGACAACAGCCTCATACCTGAGGAAGTACTAAGTAGCCTAGAAACTAATATACAGGAAGATGAATACAGTTGTCGACACAAGAAAGCCAACATCAACAGTTTGTATTTCTGTATTTGTTATCTGGTGAGATCAAGAGATCAGGACACAAATACAAGCCTCTTGTTGATTTGTAGCTATCCATTAGAAGTTGGCAAGAGTTATGCTGTCTTCCCCTCCTTCCTGAGTATTTAATAATAAGAAGGAATCATTTGAATTACTAATAAGAAGGAATTATTTGAATGGCCTTAGATTTTTCTGATGCACACTGTTTGTGTTTAAACAGTTTGCAAAAGTACAAAGATTTCTTCACATTCTATTCTAACAATTAAAATATTTTTGCAGGCCGTGATGTTTAATGTGCTAGCCAGGATGCTCACAAAAATCATCTTTATTACTGACTTTTTAATGCCTTACAACTTGCCAAGCAGAAATACTACTTGATTTCTTCAGGTATGCACTTGAAGTAGTATGCACTTAAGACATTTAAAAGCAAGGCTCCAAATGAGGCAGCCTTTGTTTGCAGTCCCATCCTAGAATCACAGAATATCCTGAGTCAGAAGGGACCCACCACGAACATTGAGGCCAATTCCTGGCTCCAATCAGGACCACCCAAAAACCAGACCCTATGTCTGAGAGCATTGTTGAAATGGTTCTAGAACTCCATCAGGCTGGTTGCTGTGACCACTTCTCTGGAGAGCCTGTCTCAGTGTCACACCATCTCTTAGAGAAGAATCTTTTCATAATATCCAACCTGACCTTTCCCTGATGCAACGTCTTGCCATTCCCGCAGTTCTAAATCCTGGTTAACCTTATGCAAGGAACTAGTCTCTGTGAACTAGTCTGGCTCACAGTGGATGATTTCCTTGATTAAAACCAGCACCTCAAAAGCACCCTACTATAGTAAGGAACATAATCAACACTACAGAAGCACGTCAGTTTATAATAACTCTAGGTGAATAGTAACTAGGTGAATATGCTGTCTTTTTCTTGCTTTCTTCCTTTCTTCTCCTTTTGCTATTTCATAGAGAGAAATAATCTCAGAATGACTTACCTACTTCTGGAAGCATTAAAACTCACCTCTCCTATTACACTTGCTAGAAGCCTTAGTGCACCACTATCATGGACAAGAGAGTCTGTGTAAAATGAACCAAGGTATTTTCTTGGATCCACCTTATTATCCACTGCACACAGATCAGGGCGCACGTTGAATCCATGGGAGATTCGCCCCACTGTGTATGGAAAAGCTCCACCTACAAGGACAAATTTTTAGCAACAGAAATTGAAAATATGAAGGAGGGAAAGAGTGACATTATCAACAAAGAGATACGTAAGTTTTATTGTTAACTATATAGAATGAAAGTGCCCTGTACTGGCAATTTTTTTATTCCTTCACTTTCATTACCTTCTTTCTCTGTTTTCCCCACTTCACAACAGTAACGCCCGAATTCCTACTGCTCCCTACTCCTCCTTTCCCTAAGCCCATAAACTGACTCCTGTCTCCTCTCACTCCTCAATTTCCTTAAAGGCTACCATAGGAGTTCAAACACTGGCTGAAACATGCTACAGAACATTAGTATGAGCAACCCATCTGGCAGATATCCTCACTGGGCTAAGAGTACTCAGCAGGTGGCAGGCTTACGGTGGTAACCACATTAACTGGTATAGCAGAAAATACAATTGTACCATGTTCAACTGAAAACCAAGTATATTACTCACCTCCATGTGCAAAGCAAACTTTAAGCTTAGGAAATTTTTCAAAAATTCCTCCCATAATCATGGAACAAATGGCCATAGTTGTTTCTGCTGGCATGCCTAGGAACAAAAAAAGCTTTATCATATATGGCCAAACCTTGAATTTTAGATGTTATCTTCATTTTCCTCAAAAAGCCTTGAGCATACTGAAAAAGTAAGTTACAGAGCAGCTGCTAAAGGTTATGCATTTTCCCTGCTAGAGGAACATAGTCCTCCATGCTAATTAATTGAAATGAGGAAATGGGACAAGAAGCTGGGATCTTCTGAATTCTAAACACACTTTTTATCCTATACCACAGGGACAGCTGTCTGGCAAGCTGGGTTATGTCCTGAACGGCATTTCACTGGCTTAGCTCCACAGTTATCCTGGCTCAAAGGCAAGTCTGGAATCTACCATGTTCTCTTCTCACCTGTGCTTCTGGGTTTTCTTTGTGTGGAAAGTAGAGCAGATACATTGGGGCATATTCCAACATGGAACTGTGGTTTAGTTATGACATGGTGCCAATTTCTTACAGTTTAGAAAGAACTGATATCTCTCAATAGCTTGGATGCCCAGTGCTAGGGATCTAACAGGAGTTTAGGTTCCTATATCAACCCTCCATTTCTGAGCACACCTATTATATTTAGAATATTATGTCATTTATGTACATAACTTTAGCTTGGAAATAAGGAACTGTTGGAGTTACCCTCTTCTTGGTGGAAACAATACCTATACCACACAAAAGAGTGTCTTTAATTCATGTTTGTTCTGTACTCTCAGATGCAAAGTCTTCTAGACTAATTAGGAAAATACTGTAGATTATTATGCTTTGTTAGGTAAATGTAACAATTTTAATCTCTTTTTAAGTCTATGTTGTAGAGCCTGCTCTGATTAAGACTAACTGATATTGTTCTAAAATAATGCACTGTTGCTTGGGACACTACGATTTTCAAGAGTGTTTTGCAGAACATGTATTATATACTTATTGCATATATTGTTCAGAGCATCTCTACTAGAGGCAGAGCAAACCTCTGAAAAACAAACAAAAGAAAAACAAAACAAAAACACAAAAAAGAGTGAGGGTGGAATCAGTCTTAAACATTTCCATTTCTAAGTAGCAAGCTAACCTACTTCTGGTTATTCAATGTCATCCACATTTACCTAGTGGATGGGGAATAAAACAGAAACTAGATAAATTCCCTCCATCTCTGGGGAGCTTCTGAAGTACACGTTGTTTCAGCTATAGTTGATGTGAACTTATATTCAGTATTTCTTCTCCAATCAACCTATTACTAGGAAATAGTCCAATGAAATTCTAGGGAACAGTGTTTGGTTTTGCTTACTCTTTTTACTTAGTCCAGTGACAGTCTGTAAACAAAAATTAAGCAAAGTAAACAGTACACTTACCTATCAGCCATGGAAACCAGTACTTGGACATCCTTCCATCTAGTTGCATGTCCCAGGGATGTACAAAAAGACAGCAATTTAATTGCTCAGCAGCCTGCAGCAAATACAAAACATCTAAATCTTGACTTAATCCTACCAAAATGCATCTTAGTTTTTAGCTATGCTTTAAAGGTTTCCTACAAAACTGGACCAAATTTTAGTACTAGCAATATAAACAGGTGCAAAATTCTAAGAACTATAAGCAATAGTTTGTTTTATTTACTCCTCTGGTACGTATCCTCTGGTACATATCCTGAAGTCCTCACTCAGACTCAAAGTTCTTTTTGAGACTACAGGGTTGGAAACACTGATGATAATATCCTTCTAGTAAGCCAAGTGTTCCTCACATTGATGTGCTACAAACCCATTTTTTAGCTGTGTGTACGTCAGTCATCCTGCAGTATAAAACTCAGTTCAAATTAAGCTTCTATTGGTTTCGTTTCACATATAAGGATTACTTCTCACAATGTTTTATAGAACCATTTTAGGATGGTTTTCTAGAATTGTTCCTGCTTCATTAAGGAGTTTTTATAGTTGTTGTGCTACATTTGCCCCCTTTGGCCCTCTGCTTGGTTTAAAAAAAAAAAAGTTAAAACTGTTCCTAATCCACCCTGAGTCAGAAATCTAGCTGCATTCTGATCAAGAAAGAACCCATGTCCATGCTGATACATTAATTTTTCCAATTACTCCTACCTTTGGAAAGGAAAGCAGAGAAACAACATAGGATGCTGATCCCAATTGTGACTATGTGCTTAATGCTATGTGCTTAACTATGTGCTTAATTTTAAGTATACACTCATCAACATCATTCATATCCTTAACTGGGATTTAACAGGTTCATTTTGTCAGTTGTATTTCTGAACCTCCTCTTGTTGCTAAGGAGACTATCACACATTTGAAGAATTTTGGTTTATTTACCCACACATACATAAATAAAACTGCAACTTTTGGATTGTACGGAGTAATTGTCATATACGTTTGCAAATTGAAAATAGCAATTCAGTAACTGGCTTGGCAGATTGATAAATTTCAGTATCAAATATGGCTTAATTTCACAATCTTTATTATCCAGGAACATTTCTAAAAATGACAGTGGTTTCTTCCTACACGTGCTAAACATAAGCTGAAGAACGTACAGTACATTAGAGAGATCCCAGTACAAGGGAAATGTGGAGCTACTGCAGAAAGTTTAGTGAAGAGTCCCTAAGGGACTGGATCAGCTCTCCCATGAAGAAAGGCTGAGAGAGTTGGGAGTATTCAGCCTAGAGAAGAGGAGGCACAGGGGCATCTTATCAATGTATATAAATACCTAAAGGGAAGGTACAAAAATGATGGAGCCAAGCTCTCTGTGATGCCCAGTGCCAGGACAAGAGACAGGGGGCACCAACTGAAACACAAGAGGTTCCACCTAAACATCAGGAAGCACTCCTGCACTGTGTGGGTGACAGAGCACTGGCAGAGGTTGCCCAGAGAGGTTGTGGAATCTCCCTCCTTGGAGGTCTTCAAAATCAGCCTGGACATGGTCCTGGACAAACTGCTGTAGGTGGCGCTGCTAGAGCAGAGGCCCTGGACCAGATTACTTCCAGACATCCCTTCCAACCTCAACTATTCTGCAAGTCTGAGAGTGTGTGCATCTCCAAGAGCAGAAGCTGATAGCAGACTGCTTGTGACCACGAAAACAAACAGCCTAGATGCTGTGCTAATAACATTATTGAGTAAATAGAGAATTCTGAAAAACAACCTCTATGGATCAATTTCAAGATGACACCTATAATAACCTGTGAAACAGATAAAGAATGTACATTGATGAAACTCTGTAAGTTAGAAAAATGGCCATCCCTAAATGAACCTCAGACTATTTAAGAAATGCAATCTATAAGCTCATTTTATAACCAAAACATTCATTTTATCACCAAAACATTTGGAATTTTTGGTCCCATTTGCATATAGGATACTTTGGCTCTATTGGTATCTCACTTTGAAATCTCTGAAAATCTCAGAGAGTTTATCAATTATCTCAATAGGATTGGATATAGTAACTTGAACCCCAAAGCAAACAGTGTAGAAATGCTTTACTTCATACTGCACTTCTCTTCACAAACCAAGAAGGCAACTCTGCGGTAAGAATTCATATCATAAAAAGATTTCATTATTATGAAGTAGGTTCCAGGATGTTTTATATCACTTTCTTGTCATTACATCATATGATCAATTATCATGTATAATTAAAGCTGAAGCTCTCTGACCACTGGTGATTAGTCAGATGTAACTGCATGGTGTGAAAGTGGGATTGTGTTGATTTCACTTGGGTGAATAAGAAACCTGGTACCAAGCACTAACACAAGTCTCAGACCTCAGTGTTATTTCACAGGTCTAAGCAGGCTGGATAAATGAATCCACAATTAAAAAACATTTGAGGTGCACTCTTTAAGAAAGCTTGTGTAATTTTAAATGAATGTTCTTAGTAGCTTGATTTCCCAGTCACTAAAGAAAATTACTGACAGTCTCCTGTAAATGTTCTTTCTTTTACACTAAGCAGAATAGGAGGGTCAATTGTTTTAATGTATATATAAATTTAGCTGATGATTGAACACATCCCAAGATATTTTTAGACAGAATTCCATGTCACAGAATTCCATCAAATAAAAAAAGAAACATTTACTCACAGCATAAACATCATACAGTTCTGGTGCATTCAGGTCCCATTTGTTGACATGAGATCCTATTTGTACTCCAGGAAAGCCAAGTTCATTCACACACCGATGCATTTCCTTCACAGCCAGGTCTGGAGCTTGCAAAGGTAACGTACCCAAGCCAACGAACCTCTTGGGGTACTTTTTTACTGTAGCAGCTAAGTCATTATTTAATATCTGGGATAGATCTAAAGTATCCTGAGGTTTGGCCTGATAAGATATTAAGCAGAATAGTACATTAAAATATAGTTCTCAAATGTTATCACCTTTGGAAGATATTGGATAAATGTCACTGCAAACAATTCAGAGACAGTGTTTGAATTTGAAATTTACAGTTCTGAATGGCCGGAAATCAGTAGGGCTAAATTTTGCCTTGTTTTAAATCCTCTGGGTAAAGTTCTCCTTCTTGTCTCAAATATTATATCAACTGTGGCTGCCTTTAGTGCTCAGGAAGAATGTAAGAAGGCCCAGGTTGCTGATGCACTAAAGTATCTGGTCTATTGTGTAAACCAGTCCTTTGTTTTTGTTTATCCAAATGCAAAAACCTGAGCAAACGATTTTCAAACACAGCAATGAATATTTACTATCCTATTATCAGAGTTGAAGAGAGAAATATAATAAATGTGGAATGATGGAGCACGAGAATTTTACAGAGAAAATTTGAGCAAAGCTCTCTAACATTTAGAAAAGGATAAGTTATAATTCAAGTAAGGGAACTGCAATATCTAGCTAAGGAACTGCAATATTCACCCAATTAGTTTGCTGTTTTCCCCCTAATATATTCGTAGAGGAAAAAATTACCATAAATATCAGAGTGAAATTTTAAACATATTTCATGCAACAAGAAATTCTGAAATTCAGTGGCACTACTTATACATGGACTTAACACAATGACCTTCATGTAGCATGTCTGTTTACTTGACTTCTGGTCAAAAAGTTCAAACAGTCAAATTAAGAATGTATTGAGAAAATCATATTGCTATGATATATCTTCTCAGACTATTTTAACTTCCTTGATGCATTCAGGATCAAGCCGTGCACGGAACGTATTAGCTACAATTTGCAACTGAATTTTAAGTTTCAAAGGATTCTATGTCAACGAGTGCTCCTCCCACGCCACATTTAAAAGGAAGTGGACTGAAGTCACAAAAATACCTTTAATTTTTAGTTCATGAGAAGATACTGGTTGATGCCTAACTCCTGGAATCAGTCCATACACACCTTCCTGCTAACCAGGGACTTGTGTTAAGTGAATGCTCTCTCCATGTTTCCAGCTACCCCCTGATAAGATCCCCAGCAAAAATTCTGTTGCTGGGTTATTTTTAATTACTGTGTGTACTCCAGAGTGGAGCTTTGCCAGGACACCCTGCTGGCTCCTCCAATTCCTGGACTACTTTTTCTTTCGTTTTTCTCAGCAAAACAATTCCCCATTTACTTCAGTGCTCTAGTGCCTATTTCAATCACCTAATTTACTGGAGGTTGAGGAATTTTTCAGAAAAATTGTAACATATGAATTACAAAATATGCTAGTAGGAACCTACCCAGTAGCTGAACATTACAGGGACTGTGGAAAGGACTTGGACTGTGACTCCTGAGAAGGAAAAGAACAGTTATTAACATTTCATTTTCAACATTTTATCAAAAGAATAAGAAAGTACTTTGGTTTGAAAGGCAGAGGCCTAGAAGTTAACTACTAAAATGGAAAGAATGTTCTAACTTTGGTATGAACAGAACCTGTTTTTGGCTAGTTGATGGTCATGGTATTAAATCTTGTGGTGTATCAGCTTATTAGGATTCCAATGTTTTACTTAAGGAGATAAAAAACTTACAGCAGATTATTTTGTGAAATTAAGTATTTTGATTTTAGCAGTGTTCGATATGCATGCATAAAATTTAATAAAATAGCAATTTAATGTTATATAAATGAATGAATCTTCGTTAAACAAACAGTATTCAATATCTTGTTTACTTTGGGTCACATTTCTTATATATAATTATATATATATAATTAATAAATAAATATGTAAATTCGATCAAAGATAAACAATGTTATGTTAACAATGGTTGTTAACATAACATGTTAACAAATGTTAATGTTTTCCTAAATCTTTCCAAAAGCTGTGTTGTGTTAGGTTTTATTCATCCTGTGGCTGTACTACTGAGCTTTTAAGTATAAGAAAGTCTATCTGGTGTTAGAAATAACTTTGATGATAGCAGTAGAGAATTAACTCTACGTTGTTTGGTTTCTGTTCAAAGACAAGTCTATACCCTCACATGTGTTTAAAAGAATGAACTTTACAAATATACAACAGAACAAACAACAAATAGTAATTAGGACTTCACTAAACAGTTACATGCATAAATGTATTTTTCTTTAATTTTTAGTCTGATTGCAGCACCATCTCATATTGTAACAGGTATGCATGCATTTTATCATGCTGAAAAAAAAAATTAACATGGCTGTTAGTAATAAAAACACTAATCCAAAAGATTGCAGAAAAACCCTATGAGAATTTAAGAGAATGACCTTGATAAAGCACTTAAATTTTTAGCAAAATGCTTTATATCCTTCTCTTTATTTTGAGTAGGAAACAAGAGGAAAAGCTGACTCAGGCATCTCTCTTTGCAAGATCTGATTAACATAATGTGCAGCAGCCATGGTTTGGAGGTTAAGAATCACATCTACAATGACATATTAATCTAAGTACAGCCTATGTTGTATTGTCCACCAATATGCTGCTGGACACTTGATTAGTATGCTTGAGAACCTTCTCCAGGTTTTCCACACAATGCTTTGTATCTGGTTCCAGTCCATTTTTACATTTCCAAGCAAATTTAACATAATCTAACATAGGTAGATTTCTATGCTGAACAATCCCAGACACTAGATTTAGTAAGAAGATGAATCAGTATGGGAAAAAAAAAAAAAGACCCTCTACTTTATATTCCGAATATGTTTTCTCTTAGCTTTCTGAATCCCCTTGGTGCGAAGGGATTAGCAGATGATATACCATAATGGCAGGCATGTCATTACTAACCATACCACTGCAATGACACACAGACCAGTGCACGTTTGGTTTGATTGTGGAGGTAAGAAGCACCTTTTCAGAAAGTTTTACAAAGTGAAAATAATAAGAAGAGGCAGTTAGGATTAACTGAAAGATTTTAGCCCACAAAATTGTGATGATTTGTATCACAGAACTGTGTTATTAATTGCCTTTACAACTTGTTTTACTGAATTACCTTTATAGTTTGTGTTATTGAGTAGATCAAGACACAAGTTTATACACTAATTAGACCTAGGACACATGATTATGAGAATTAATTCAGTCTCTTTGGTACATTGGCTACCATTTCTTATCATCGGCAAGATTTCTAGGGCACTGCACAAAGCCTTTTAGCAACCAAGCTGTAAGTTATTTCTCTGAATAAATAACATCTTACAAAGACTGCTACTAGCTTTGTTCAGTGTGGAGTTATGCCATATTTGGATATTTATTTTTTCAGTATGATCCATCTTGGTCTGTGTTACATAAAGTTTTCATTGAACTAAGTAGCCACAAGCTTTGTAAACTGACAGGAATAAACATAGACCACAATCTTTATTATTAAAAGAATGAAAAACAGTAAGATTTTTTTTTTTAAAAACACTTAATTAGCTGATGCCTGTATCTTTGGAGTGCAGTAATAAAAAGGGACATTTTTAGAGCACAAGTCACCAGATGGTGCTGTAACACACAGTTTTAGAGGTTTTTTTTTTTTTTTTTTTTTTTTTTTTTTAACACAAGTAAGCAAGCACTGTTTAGTTTGTGAGGAAATACCATGGTGCTGCTTTTATGATACATTTTATTTTCTGCCATTACAAATAGAAAAATAATTGATCAGACTAAAAATTTCTTTGCTCATTCTCAGTCTCACATCTTGCAAATCTCATTTAGTGGCATGAAGGAACCTGGTGGAAAATAAACTACATGCCAAATTTTCAAATTTATTTCTAAATCAGGAAAACTCTTTCCTGAAAGACTAATGGTAGCAGTTCTCTAAGCTCAGAATCCTCTAGCAAAAATACGGAATGAAATTGCATCACCTAAACAGAAAAAATATTACAAAAGGAAACAATTATATAAAAAAAATCCTACAAGAAACGCAGACTCTTGACATTTGTGGAAAAAAAAAGTGGGGGAATGAATTGCTACTGAAAATGAGAAAAGTTATTGGAACACGTCCCATTTGTGTCTGAATATAAAACGTAACATTTTTCACTGATTCTTAGTGGATTTAAATTAAGGAAGTAGTTTGCTAAACCTTTTGATTTTGATATGGTTATTAACTACTTTCAGATGCACTAACAGAGATGTTATTCTGAATGAGACACAATCATTTCAGTTCCTTAACAGAGGTACCTGAGAGGTCCATCTCCTTGATCCGTACTTCCGGATCCCAGCAGTTCTCTTGAATAACTCTAAAAACCTTTCCATCCTTCATCATCCTTGCCTGTCCCTGTGAAATGACATTTTCATATATTATAAATGTGACAAAGTAGTACATGATAATTTATATAGTGACTTGAGTATATTGTGCTTTACAGGAATTCAGAGACAGATTTTTGTTTTTTTTTTTTTATTCAGCAGGTATTTTTAAATCAAAAATTATTTTAAAATAGTAATTAATAAAAGACTATAAAAATAGTCACTTATAGTTCAGATGACATGAATTAATTCTTTAAAATGAAAAAAAATCCCTTTATATTGCAATGCGTATCACTCCATATGTTTGGAAAAGATACAAGCTGTTTTAACCAAAGTTTATCTCCAAATCAAATGCTGACCTCCAGATAACACTCTAATTAAATCTGTGCTAAATTTTCCCCTTGGGTATGCGTGTGTTCTTTTAAAATCAACACCATAGAATGCTTCCAATAACTACAGAAATAATTGTGCAACTCTCTTAAATTCCAGCCAGTTGTTTCAGATCACCAGTCAGTATGAGGCAAAAGCAGACCTATTACGTTGTCTTCAGATTACATTTTCTCCTTAGGAACAGAATTACTGAAAAACTGTATTTGGAAAAAACAAGCAAGCAAGCAAACAAACAAAAAACAACAACCAAAGCACAAAGCTGAACACACTATAAACCATGACCTGAATTACGGTAATACCTTTCCCATTCCTCCACCAATTCCCAAACTTACAAAGTTCAAAATATTATCAAGGTCAGGAAATTTAATACTGTTCCATTAACTGTCAACATGGAAACTTCCTTTTCAAACTTATTTTTTGGTTGATACGTCAACTATGCAAAGATGATGAGTAGGACAATGACATCACATTAACCAAAGGAAAATGTTTGTGCAGGTTTTACATAACCATGCTTCTATGATCTTGTAAAGACAGACCAGACAGTATTTCTGTTGGCTTAGAAGTAATTGATTAGCTATAATTCACCAATAGTTGTAAGGCCTGAGTGTTATTTGGTTGCTTGCAGCTACTTTGGGTGTAAGTGAAATAGCTGAAGTCCTCAAGATCTCCATCTTGGATCTGAGGATACGGAATCGGTGAGCGTGCTCATGCAGGAAACATACTGGACAGAAGGGACACTGAATTTGCAGTTGAAAATTGAAAACCAGATAAACTGTGAGAAAGCACAGCAGTTACTCTTTCACCTTCACAGTAAACACAAGCTAAGTGTAGGGCAGTCTTCTGACACTTCCGGAAAGGGAATTCTTTCTCTCTAAAGGCCACTTTATTTTCCCCACAAAAATATTTTATTTAGGATCCCCAAGACACTTGTCTATATTGCTAAATAAAAATCTGATAAACCAGAATATTCCCTGTTATTATTTTTAAAACAGAAATAACCCACCAAATTTCACTAATCAGTGAAGAGCTGGGTTTCTATCACCTCCTTCAGGGAAGCCAGACTTCTTAACCTTGAATTTGTTATTAACTTCAAGCATCATTCACAAATACACTGCCCTAATGAATATTTTACAGCTCTCTTCAACAAATCTAACTGTGCTGCCTTGGCAAACTGTCAAGGTACTTGATAGCTCTAACACAGTTTGTGAAAATTACTTGAAATATTACAGTCAGTAATAACAATCACATAGTCCTGATCCTCTGGTAAAATACTTCAGGTTCTTGTAAAATTGATTTTCCAACCTGACAAGAAGTTTTACTCTGGCCATATACTCCGATGCATTAAAAAAAGATCAGCCCATTGCAGCAGATTGCCTAATAAATGGAAAAATATTCAGGGTGTGAGCAGAGAAAACAGAGTAGAACTGAGCATTGTACCACATACAAATAGATTGTGTGGCCTTTATTGGTTTACCGCTGGGAGTATTTCTGTGAACACAGGCGAATTTTAATTCTTTACTCAGACACAGCTACAGCACAGCAGCAGAACAACTCATATATATAAATATATATATACACACACATATATATATTTCCTTCTGCTAACACATGAAAACTGTAATTTCACCTGCAACCTTGACATTGCTTATACATAAATGCTGAGATGAACAGTGGTTTTCTGCAAGCTGCAGCAGGGTTTGCAAAATAAGAAAGGTTTCTAATAAGCCATGTGTTGTTCTCATTGAAGACTTCATCGAACAGCTTCCTATTTTCATTTGCATTAACTGATTCTTTGTGAACAAAAACATGCTCCAGGTCAAGGCTAAACTCACAGCATTGTGTGTGAGGAACAACAGACTTGATTATGCAGGAAAGCAGAACATCATCTTCTGAATAGATTCATGCTCATGTCTGTCAGAATTGAAAGATCTACCCCAGCAACGCTGTAACTGGAAATTCAGTCATACTGCTATTGTCTTTAGCCACTGCCACTAATCTGCACCTGATATTTTTTAAAATAAAAAATTACTCAGACACTTCAATTGCTGAGATTTTTTTTTTTTTTTAGCAATGAGAATGAAACATGGATGAGAATGAAAATTTTCAGGTTGCAAAGAAATGGATGCTTTTATGAAAATTTCAGAAAAGACATTAGATCTCTATTTGGCAAATTAACACAATTTTCTAAGGGAACAGATGGAAAATTCTATCACCTACTCTATTCTATTCTTAATATTATCTAATATTCAAGACTTTAATTAATTTATGTGGAAATTAAGAGAGAGAGATTTAAGAATGAAGTCTAGGAGGCTGATCTGGTTCAGCAATCTACATTTAAATTACTGCATTGCTAAACCACTCAGTTACACCCCAAATTGCACTTCCTTAAAAATGCATGGAATTATTTTCTTCCAGTTTGACCCTGATGCTTCTTCACAGAATGGCATCTGAAGTTTTACCTTTTTTAAAAATTTCAAGAGTTAACTTCCCCAGCCAAACAGATCTGAACAAGATTTTCTTTTGCCATGATTATTTTCTTGCAACATTTTCAGACAGAAGTGGGCTAGACAGAATTCTCTGCAGAGTGTATCAGGCTATTATTAACTTGCCACAAAGTTCCTTTGCAAACTATTTTTAGCAAGGAGTGTTAGCATCAGGCCTATAAAAACAGTTAAGCTGCTAAAAATGTCTCCACGTCTCCCCTTCCTGCACCTACCAGAATCTCAGAAGCTGTGCCATCCACACTTTGGTTCAGCAGGTGGCTTGTTCTCTCCTCCCATGCCTGCTTAGACTCATATCTGAAATTTCAGCATAATATCTGTTTCCTCCTCATTCTCAGTCCCAGCCTTCCTATTCTGTGGCCCTCTTTCAAAAACAATTGTTAGGCACTTGACAGCATAGCCTTGCATACTATAGCATGACAACAGCATGTATCATTAGGTTGCAATAAATAGGCACTATCGTATCCATCTTACTAGCTTTTTTTTTGTTTAAAAAAGTTACTGTGTACTTATGTATACAAAGAAGTATGATTTTGCAAAATGACCAGTGGAGTGTCTAGTTCCACCAAAATTAACACAGTATACAACTGGATTTAACCAGTTATTTGCACTCCTCACATGATTTATGGGGGTCATGTGTTGACACTGTTGAGCTATTCATGCTCCTAATTTTGTATCTATTGTCTTGCAGCTGTCTATATCCAAATTGTTATTTCTGCTCTTACCTATCTATCCTCTGTTACCTTCATATCTTTTCCTTAATTATCCTCCTAACACCTTGCATTGTCTTTATCCCTTCAGTACAACTAACAGCATACCTCTGGTAGGCAGTTACAGATGGCATTTCTCAAATCAGGGCAGGTACATATGAAATAGAGTTGGAAGTGAACTGAGGTCTCCTGAGACACCTTTCCAATCTTCCTGCTTCCAGAGGTCAGTGCCATTTGCAGTGACAGGCTCTCTGAAAGATTCCTAGAAGCAGGGAGCTGACAGGTCACAGGAGGAAGCTGGCTTCCCATGACAGCGTTGGAGATACACAGGGATATCTGACTGCCAAAGCCATTATATGGTAATCGAGGGAACATCTTTAAAATAAGTCAGTATAGTTCACCTACATAGTAATGTGTAAAGGGTATTACTTTGCCTTATCAGCCTTGCCTCTCTTAGGTCATTATGCCTTCCTGTACAAAAATAAAATAAAAATAAAAATAAAAAAACACTTACTCTAGTATCTTTTAAATGCTCTTACCAAAAGATATACAGCAACATTTTGATCTTGCTTTCAGAAGTTTTACGTTGCTGTCTCACTGTGGATGTCACTGAAATTCCTTCTGATTTGCTCTACTGTGAGTGAGATCAGAACCAAGCCTTCAAAAACACAGTTCTGTCTCCATCACAGTAAATGCACGTATTTTGCTAAATTCACTACAAGAAGAATGGATTCTGAATGCAGATAGACTGTTAGCATAGACTCATAGCATGTGGAGACATGTTCCTGTTATATTTATGTAGCTTAGAAGTGGCTTTGTGAAGTTAATGGAGTGGGTGAAGGATGAAGTATAATCAGACTGTCTGCCTTCTACTTGCCAAGAAACCTCAGGCTCCTACTGTTGTGTATAACGATTCCCAAATCTAGGTATTTTTCCTATTGTTCCTGGATATTGAAACCAGTTTGTTCTCCTTGTCATAACATTACAGAAGTTACTCTTTCCCTTTGAAGATATTTTCATGACTGAGTTAACTTTTATTAAAATACCAGTTCCTTTTGGTTTTGCTTCTCATACAGAAGAATTCTTTTAGTTAAAAGTAGTCAATACATTATCTGCTTTAGGCTTATCTTGCTATAGACTTATTGAAAACAATTCCTAAGAGCTATCTGTTCCAAGTGTTTAGATGATATTATGACAAAAAAAGGATAATGGAAAATGGCTCATACAAGCGTATGTGAAATTCAGTATAGTCATTTCACATCTTAAGCAAAAAGTTCTGCTGAGGTATATTTGGACTTTGAATGATATTACTTCAGAAAAGATAAACCTCTAGATAAATATGTATCAAAGACTTGGCCAATCTTATTGCCACTTTGCTTCTTAATGGATATCCTAGGAATTTTTACTCCTAATGACAACACAAGACCAACCAAACAGCCCACACCTTGCAGTGATGATCCAGCTGTACCCATCCACCATATCCATATCTCTGTAAAAGAAAGAAGAAAAAGCCAGTAACTAGTTAGCACTCTGCAATAATAATCAAAATTTCTTTCTTATAACCCAGCAGTACCTTATTCAGGAGAAATACTGAAGCATATGCTCAGCATTGAGCCCACAAGTAGCCCCAAACTTCAACAAAAGCACCAAAGTTTAACCAGACTGTACTATTGCTGTTTGTAAATCTGAACTTTTAGCTCCAAGTTCAACAGCATTTTAAAATAAGCCTGAAAACTGATTTCAAAGTGCTTAAAGTTGCATAATATGTATTGAGGTTCTAATTGGAATAGTATTTTAACACTGCAAAAATTGAATCAAGCACTTGGCAATATGAAAATTGAGCTGACAATCTTCCAATTCTAACAAATTGTAATCAGTTAATCATTAGCACGAAGATGTATCGATTCCACTTTTCAGCTTTCATGATTCATCAGCAGTACTGAAGGTCAGTCTCTCTCTATTAATATTTAAACAGCCAAGAGAAGCTTAAAGGAGAAGCTTAGATGCTCATTGATTCTTTCAGAGAGATTCAAAATTGTTTATACAAAAAAAAAAAAAAAGAAAAAGAAAAAACACACCAAAACCAAAACATACCACAAAAGAAGCTGATTGCATTTTCATAACTTATCAGATTAGAAATCTCAAAATAACATAGTAGACTGAAAACAATGCTCAAAATTCCTTTTTTTCTATTACGAAAAGTTTAAAAGGAATCTGAGTAAAAGCAGGGATTTCTTTCACTGAAGTGTAAACAATTTGAATACAATCCTGAATTTCCCGTGATAAGACATCATTACGAAATGCAGCTGTCAGCTTTCCCTCGGTAGGCGTGTAGAGCCAAGCCTCCTGACTTCAGTCAATCAGAGATCATAATTTCCACAGCTAAGAATATTTCAGTCAATTATTTACTTTTAGCTATGTAGCTAGGTAAATTTTATTTAAATTCAAACTTTTATTTTTTATATATATTTATATATAAACTACATATATATATTTATATATATTTACATACATAACACATTTACAGTTAAGGAAAAATTTATGACATCTAATGAGAACTTTACTTTTTTCTAGCTCCATGCTAATTGCAGTTAGAAGCTGTACAAAAAATGAGTACCTTAAAGGTGCTCAGGGAGAATAGAGAATCTCACTGGTCTGATTTTGAACTGCTAGTCTTCTTTTTACCTGTTCGTTATTAATTGGATGCATTGATGGTCCTTTACTGAAGGATTTCATTAATTTATATGCATTTTTGTACTTATTATGGGTTCTTAAGCTCTTAATAATTATCTTGATAATAGAATGTTCTAGTCAGAGATTCAAGATTCAGCATTTATAAGACGGAAAAAAAGAAAGAAGTTTAACACTGCGTGAGCATGCTAGGATTGCCTAATTGGTCTTCCATGCATGAGATGTAGAAGGCCACGTTAATGGCTTGAATTTTCAGAGGGCTCTAGGGAATCCTGAGGGTTGTTTTCTATTCTGTTTTCTTCTTTCTAACAAACCTTTGAAATGATCAAACTTTAGAAAGGAGGAAACAAAAACTAGCAGGTGGAGATTACCTTTAAAAAAATTGTATTAGCCTCTTTAATCAGCATTTAAATAAATGCAACACTGGCCTACAGCTGACCTCAGGGATTAACAGCAAGGAATTCATCTTTCACATACATCTATGAACATCAAGGGACTCTTGACGTGATTTTATCCCAATGAACTTATTGTCCTTTTAAATCATAGACAGACAAAAGTATGTAAATAATTCAAAATCAGAATATAGAATTTTTATAGGGATTTTTATAGGGATATTGCACAGACAAGGACTACAAAATCTGAAACAAACAAGAGTAGCTTTTTTTTTGTAGACTAGATATTTAAACTCCTATCCATCCACTCAATACAAAAATAATTGTTCTCAAAAATACCTATCATCTCACCTACATTATCCTGTGTGCATATGTGTTTTTCATTGAAGAGCTCTTACAATTACAAATAGGAAGTTCAAATAGATGTTTAAAAAGCCCTTCCTAGGTAAAAGAGGAAACAAATATTCCCTTCCAGGAGGCTTTATGCATAATAATGTTACTCTTCACTACTAACGAAGAAATAATCCCATATATGTTTTTAGCAACAGGTTTTCTCCTGACTATTTTTTCTTACATTTTGTAGCTGCTCTCTGGCTAACATCTAACTGATACTGGACTGTCATGTTTAAAGTCCCAGAAACATGGAGCTAATGCACACAAAATGCTTACCTGGGAGTTTGCCATCATCAACCTCAAAAGAGTAAAGTGAAAGAGATGTACGGTGTCAAACAGAGTGTCAGTTAGTGTGCCCGAGGCCTAAGAGCATGGCTGAAACAATGGCATTCTTTTGTTGTCAAAGGCAGGCACAATGAAATCAAGTGGTTCCATACCACTGGCAATGCTCATTCAAACTGCTACCAGCACAGAATTACAATAAGAGAAGAACCAACAATGCAGTGTTTCTAGTCTGACTTTTCTACCATGAGTTATAAAAGATAGCTATCCTAGAATTCTGTAAATTGCAAACAATTTTGTTTGTGTGTATAACCAATATATACAGTTTTACCCGTGTGATCTTTTTCAGTACCCTTTGTACCATTGAAGATGTGATCCCTTATGAATCCAAGATCCTTAGATCAGCCACCCCTGTATTCAGTTGTGATTATAATTATTCAGGCAACAACTCTAAAACCTAATTCAGAACCAGATGACTACATTGCTTTTGATAATCTGAAGTAAGAAAAGGAGTAGAATTATTACATAAAAACCTAAATGACACTTTCCATTCTCAAATACTTTTCAGAGTCATAAAATTGCTACTGACAAGCATAAATCTATGTTGTTAAACACTAATAATAATAATAGCACGCAGAAATGCAAAGTTAAGACAAGTTGACTTATAGCTTCAGTGTTGTGACAACTGAAATTTAGTATTTGTGATACAATATGCAACTCCTTCCCAGTAACTGAAAAAAACAACAGATATTAGTAAAACAATCATAATCATCAGTTAACCATACTTAGAGTTCTCCCATACCTACTGAAATGAATGAATGACTTTCATGCCTGTGGGCATAAGATGAGAATGAATGACTTCTGTCTTAGGTAACATTAATCTTGTCACACTTTTGCTTATTTCTCCTATTTAAAACAAAGGTGAATACCATTTGGGAGCTTGACAGCTCTACTTTCATCAAGAAAATGGAATTTATGCCTCATCATTCAATAGTTATAGGTCTCATAAAAAACAACAAAAAATGACATGAGTCTAAATAGAAAGTGGGTAACAGCCCAGTTTTCTTACAAGGACTCTTGTTTTGCATAGTAATTTAATATGAATATCTTACATCTGAAAAAAAAATCGAATCAGACAAAAACCTACTGAAAACAGGAATTTCTAAGAGAACCTTTCATTCACTGATTTTTCAAGAATTACATTGGTACCAATGGTTGCTGATAACATAAGGCACTGAATATCTAAACTCTTATTACCTTTTCTAGGTCAGGCCATTCCTTAGGAAGAATGTGGCTATGAATATCAATTTTCATTTTTGAAGTATCAAAGGAGAAATACTCTTTCTCAGAAAATGTTTTCTGTGTAATTGCTACTATCCTTCCTGTCCCTGGTTCAGCAGTTATTGACTTCGGCTGCGGTTCAGATCCACCTGCTGCGGGTCATGAGAACTAAATACAGTAACCAGCCAGGGAGCCTGGATCCCAGAGGAGTGGCTCTGTGAAAGAACAAAGGCTTCTAGCAGAAAGTCCCTGTTAATGCATAAACTACAGCTGGCTGAGGGCAAAGGGAAGCATTCATGTTTATATTGGCAGTATAAAGGGGTTTGTTACCTAGAATCTAAAATGCAAGCTCACTTACAGACTCAGCATTACGAACTGAAAATCACTCAATGAAATTGAATCAGAATAAATGTATTAAACAGGTTGATTTGAATTTCCTCCTTTCTCCCTCTTAGATGCTGAAATGATTTGTAGTGAGTGTATAATATGCTCTTGGTAAACAGTCATACCTCCTCTCTTCATTCCTTTGCATTTTCTTAAGTTATATTAAAAATTTCACAGAAATACTGAATCATAGCCAAATCTATGCTGTGCACTTCATTTCCTCCCTTTGATTATTGGTTTTCTGAGGATATTTACACATGCTACTGTGTATTGGTGCTCAGAGCCTCTCGAATTGGTTCAAGATCAGGGGGGAGAATGGCTGAGATTACCATTAGTTAAGACCAGTGGAGTGCACTAGTTAATATGGCAAATGACTTCTGCATCCAAAGTGAAGCTTAACTGGAGCTCCCTCAGATTTTCTGCGTAATTACATCTCACGGTTCACCCTTTACTCAATTTAATATTACACTTCTTTCCTCCAAATACCCTTGTCTTTTACTTGTGTCGTACTGTTCTTTCTATAATTTATTTCTAATTAATAATTTAATAAAATAATTTATTTATATAAATTATTTCAACACAAGCTACTCACATGGTGTCTTCTTGCCAAAGCTGGTTAACCATTTATTGATTAAATTGTTTCTGATGAAAAAAGCAGATATTTTAAAACTAAATTTTGCTGTGAATCTTTCACCCTGAAATCAAGGAACTTGAAAAACAAGTGGTCCATTTTGTTTCAACCTTTTTCTGAGTTTGCTATTTTATTTGGGCTTGATTTTTTTTTTTTTAATGACTTTGTTGTATTTCCCTGCTTGTTCCTTCATTCAGCAAGTCTGCTTCTGATGTGGTCAGTTAACCTGCCTAATCTTGAAGTCAACTGCTTGTAACATGGTTGGTTGTTTGCTTGATTGTGTGCTTCTCTGCAACCTGAGATCAATGAAGACTGAATGTTAAATAGGAAGCAGCAGCTTTTGGGAGAGTATTTGCTACAGTAAGCAGGACAGCAAATAATTCACTTTTCCACATCAGAAAAAATGGGATTGAAAATAGCAATTATTTCCATTCC